TTAGACAATTTTGGTGCGATATTTGTATGAAATCATATTTATTGGTTATAAATTGTCATTTATAAAAGTGCGAGTAGCCCCTAGTTATAATTACACCGCATTTTCATTCTCTTTCGCAAGGACTCACAAAATGAGCTTTACAAAAACATGTTCAAGTATATGGAAGACAACAAGGATGATGTTCTGGTTAAGAATAATGATGATGGTATTGCTCGTGTATACAATTCAGGCGATGGTAGGTACTCTTCTATTTTACAAGATTTTCGTTTCAACTTCTTATTCACAATTACACAATCCATCAAAAGACTATGCGTTTTTAATGGAATCTTCATCGATTGACTATATCACGGAGCGATACTGTAATTTAACTCAAGTTGGTGAACGACTGGATGATAAGAACTATGGGATAGGAATGAGAAAAAGTGAGTGTTTTTGTGTATGTGATTAAGAGAAGGTTATATAAAACACGGCTTTTCGCATACTGATCAGAGGCAACTAATTGGTTTCCGTACTCGAATTGATAATATTCTGATTTCTTAACAGATTTCAAATATAGTTCACAGCTGAGTGAAGGTGTGTTGCAGCTGCAAGAACGAGGCGTACTAGCCACATTGAGAACGGTTCGTATGTAATTTAATTCGTATGTAATTAAAATTTAATTTTATGTATGTACTTTCTAGAAATGGTGGAAAGAACGGAAAGGTGGTGGTGCTTGTTCGGTAAGTTGTCCGTAAACTTATTTGATAGTTTGTTGATTATGGTAAATAATATGTGATAAACATTGATGAAAGGTTAATGCCGTCGATGGAGCGGCCGTTCCACTTCAAATGGCAAACGTTGTTGGTGTATTTTATGTTTTGCTTGGCGGAACAATATTCGCACTCTGCTACGGAGCGATATGTTTATTTTTGGAAATTCATTATGATGCAAAAAGACGCAAGGTTCGTGAGACATTGTCTCAGATACTTACTGTTCCCGTCAAAATCCCTTCGACATCCCACTGAAAGCATTCCAACTTTTCCAAGCCATTTTTGTAGTTAGACTTTGATTATATTCTGGTGTGGGTTTTCTTCTAGAGAATGAATTAGTGTTTTCTTGTTCAATTTCCGAAACTTTCTCTGCCAAACCTCTTTGAAAATCATTCCTCATTGCTTATTGCCCATTATATTCCTGCTACGATTTCGAACCTTATGCAGTTGTTCTCATGCCTGTTTTCCCGGTTACATGGTTAAAATACTTTTCCAATGCTCTTGTAGATCGTAGATTTAAATTCGTAGACATTCCTGATTTACCGATTATGAGTTGTGTGTTCTAACTTAATTTAGAAAGGCAGCAGCTCCGATGCGGCAGAGTTGAGATTTGAGAATTTGAGAGGTGTGTTTTACGTTTTATTGTGTGGTAGTTTTTTCGCTTGCTTGTATGGTTGCACAGAAGCTTTGTTCCACATTTACAAGAAAGCAAAATCAGAAAAGGTACGACTTTTTATTTTATTCATCACGTTTCCTATCTGTAATATCTAATGATTTTTTCCCATCCAACATTAACTTATGTTTCTTTTTTCGTTGTAAATTTTTTGCATTTGATTTCCTTTCATGATTTTAAAAATAATGAAAAAATTGATGATCTCATTACATCGATATTAGATATCATTTAAAGAAGAGTTGATTGCCGAAATGAAATTCTTGATGACGTGTCAAGGAGTCAAAGAAGTACGTCATCGAAAAGGGTCAAAGTCTCAATATTCGGGCACATCATCGCGTTACAGCGGAGGCACGAACAGTCAAGTTCACGGATCCAATGCATTGATCAATATGAATTGAATCAAACGATACAATTATTTGTTATGTTATCATAGTATAATATTTCCTGTATTTAATTGAATAAATGAACGTTTAGATAAAATAATATATTTCAATTTTGAATCTGAATAAAAATCACAATTTTGTGTTTTTTCTTTCAAGCAAAATTGTTTTGATGATATGTTGCCAATGTTCACATGAACGAATCTCGCGCTTTAAGCAAAGTTTAGCAGAAAAATTCGAAACTCCTCATTTGACGATACATACAATTAAACCATCGTTTGAAAATTCCTCTCGGAGTTCTTAAGCTCCTCTTAAGGGTCATCGACTCATTGGTTTAAACAAATCTCCTCAACACAAACAAGAATTCCATATCTCTTCATTATTATTGAATGAATTGTCTCGCATTATTTTTGCTACGCATTAAATACACGTGAAAATAAAAATAAACGTAGAACTGGCGTTTGAGTGTAAGCAAGGTAGTATATAACCGACATGAAATGCAATCCCTGTACAAACCGGCCAAAGTGAACATGACTGAAGTGAGTCAACATGGTTTATCATTGTCTAACAACTACAAGGAAATTCTCTATAATTTCTCACGACAGTGCTGTATATACGTGATGTTGAACAAGTGACATTATTGCGAATGTGGAATCAATCATTTGGAAGAATGATGAAATAAAATTACAATTCAAAATTTCAATCAATTTGAGGAAATTAAATTGTCGAATTCTTTGTTTTATCGGAATTTTATTACAAGCCAAAGAATCATATGCTTTTGGAGTATTGAGCGACTTTGGTGAGATATAATCAATATTAAAAATTTTAACAATGGCCAATCTTAGCTGTACGTTTGACAATGTACTTGGTTTTACAATGTTCTCTTGCTGTTAAAGCAAACATGAATTATCTGTTGCATTGACGATACTAAACGCCATATTGGCATACGCTAAGAGAAGATATAAATGAAAAAATCATTTATTTACACAAAATTAGGGTTTACAAACGTTTCGACAAATACCGCAAACGGTGTTATAAAAACGTTATTTTTCTGTAGTGTTTTTTTTGACAGTCCAAAATACCGCAGAAATAACGATAAAAAACGAAAAAAACGTTTTTTGGGCGGTATATAACGGCTCTGTAAAAAAACGTTTTTAAGAAACACTGAAAAAAATAACGCGTTTTTAAACCCTACACAAAATACAGTGAATTAACAAAAATTATTTCAAAAATCCAAGGCATGGTCCCCCCATGTATTGTATTGTCAAAATATTTTGTAGCAGATACATACTAACATTGAAAAATTTTGAAATGGAAAGGAAAAAGTATCCGTTTCAGAAGATATGGGACATTTTGTCTAATTTCGTCGCATCAATTCAATATTTCTAGTCTTTTCTAAAACTGTACATCTATAGTTGGGCGCAACACAAACGACAATTTTTGATCGATTTAATAGCATCTATTAAAATGCCGTAATTAATTTTCCTAATGACACTTAAATACACATGCCGAAAAGCATATTATTGTTACAGTATAAAATGACCTTGTGCACTCTACATCAGAATTGTTGACGAGTCTAACCAATTGATTTTGTCTGAGAATTTTGCTTGTATTGTAATTTTGGATCATCTAAATTGAAATATTAAAAGACATTATTTTTGATGTAACAAAATTGAACCATCTGTCAATCGATTTAAATGCACCTATTATAATGCCAAAATTGAAGATTTAAAAAAAAGTGGAAAATGACCACGGACTAGTATTGGCTTCAATTCGTGACAAAGTCAGTAAAACATACTCTGCTCTCAATCTTCCATAGAATTCATAATAGGTATAATTTGCTTCGTTTGTATTTTAAATGAAGAAAAAAAAACTATCGATCGAACGAACAAATGTTGTTCAATGTCGAATGAACGAACAAGCGTTCGATAGTGTTCGTCACACGTGTGCAAGGGGGAGAGGTATTCCGGTTTTACCCCCCCCTAGGATTCCAAAATGTGGACCCCCCCCCAAGCGATTTGGAAAATTTTACACTAGATATAACTCTTTTTTAAAAGTGAGGACCTTTTTTTTTTTAGTCCTCACTTTTTTCTGGATACCGGTTTTACACTAGATAGAATCGATTTCCAAAAGTGAGGACCTTTTTTTTTTTTGATCTTCATTTTTTTTCACACCCATTTATAAATTTGCAGACCCCCCTGGCAAAATCATTTTACCCCCCCTAGAATTTTTGACCTTGCACACGTCTGGTGTTCGTCGGCCAAAACAACCACAGACGTCGTATTTTAATGCGTTTCATGAAATATTTAGTTTTCCCTTCATTTTCAAATACCATCCACTGACTATTGAAGAAATTTGTCTAAATTTTTCACGTTACAGGTTGAAATATTTGTCTTGTAGGTGACAATACAGAACGGTTTTGATGCTGTAGCCAGAACAGAACTGTAGATTTGAACGAGAGAACGTATAGTGTGAGGGCGAATTATTGGAATGCTTTGCAATTTTTTCTTTATTAGTTAAATTTAAAATCGTGTGAAATTAAATAAACCGTTCATAAAAAATTGATGAGCATTCAATCGACATAATTAGAAAAAGGAATAGTGAAATGAAAATGAAGCCTTTGCCGTCGATTCAGCAAGCGTTGACATGGCTCTGTGTGCTGCCGTTTGATAAATCTACTCCAAAGTGGGAGAAAGTGGCCTGTTTTCTATTCCCATTGGCCACTTTATGCATTAGCCTGTGTTCGTTAGCAGCATCTATGGCGTTTATATTGAAATATAAATCGACAGATTTAACGGGCTGTTTCTATGTGGCCTTGCAAATTGGTATCTTCTTCAACTTGACATATACGATCATCGTTGGATTTTTCTTGCGCTTTAAAATACCCGGAATCTTCAAAAACTTGACCGATATCTATGATGCAAGTATGGGAACATTAAATTTGGTAGAAATTTTTTCAATTGATTCAAATACTCTAAACTAAATCAATAAAATCTACTCCAATCCAGATGCCAGCGAGGATTCTTTTCAATTTCTGGTGCATGCAAATGACAAATGTGAATGGCTTTGGAGCATTTTTTTTAAAAGTTCAATTTATATAGAAACTGGCGCGGGATTAGTGTCTTTGGTTTCCGTTCTTTTTTGTTGGATAACAAATGGAGAATTTGATGCAAAATTGGTCTTTCATCCCAATAAAGTTGTGTAAGTGGGGATTAAGTTTTATACAGAAAATTTCCGTTGCCCAATCAATTTATTTTCTAGTTTGCCGTGGAATCAGGAAACACTTTCCGGTTATTTCGGTGAAATATTTTTCGTAATTGCATCCGGTCCACCTTTTTTAATTTATATTGGATGCATGTGCTTGCTATTCATTTCGATTTGTTTTCATCATCAAGCATTTTATAAAATGTTTTCGCATTCAATGAAAAAGTTAGATCGTCTCGACAAAACAAGAGATAATAAAGAGTACCTTTGTGGTCTGATTTGCTTCCATATTACAATTAAAAAGTGAGTCCATACCTAGACAAATGTGAATTACACTTTTGGAGGACTCTTATATTGAGCTCTTTTCTCTTACTTTAGTTGGTTTTTAGAAACCGTAGAGGCCTTTAATCTTCTTGTTATGATTCAATTAATCTGTAACACAGTTATAGCGATTTGTTTCGTTTTTCATCTGGATTTGGTAATTACAACATTTCTATTTGATTGCCTGGATTTCTGTCAATATGAAGTGAATATAAAATCTTTTCTTTTTCAGCAAATTCAAAACATCGATTTCAATCTTATCATAATTAGTGGAGGCATGCTATTATCCATGTTTATTATTTTCCTCTACTGTCATTTCGGAAAAATGGCCACCGACAGTTTCGCAAAAATGACGAACTGTGTGTATGAGTCTATTTGGCCAGATCTCCCGATTCATTTACAGAAATATTTCATTTTGATGATTCAAAATACACAGCAACCGATTTGTTACCATGGTTTTGGTATGATTGAACTGAATTTGGAAACTTTTTGCAGGGTATACAATTCATTTGACATCAATCAAACTTAATTTTCATTCTAAACAATATTTTTACAGCTACTTAAAAAGGTTTACACCTACTATATGATGCTTAAGACTTTAGCACATGAATGAACAGTGGAACAGTCCGTAAAACGATTATAATTTTATCTGGATTCGTTTACGATATTTTGTAGCACTAATATGTTGTGATATGTCACTAACCAATGCCCTTTTCAATGAAATCATTCCATATTTTTGCACAATTTAAATAATGAATTGTAATTTTCGATGACGTGTCTATGAACAAAAATATTTATTTATGTACATGTATATATGTATATCAAAGTTAAACCCAGATGATTCGAATAACAAATGAACGAATAAACGAAATAATCTTTTTCAATTGCATGTGAAATAACTGTTCCCAAATGAATTATACAAAAGAGCAATGCCAGTGAATACAACGGAGTGAGTACGGAATATCAGAAGCATATGACATATAATCATTCCTTCACTATATTTTCTTGGAATCAATTTATTCCAATAATTCAGAACTTGTACATATGTTCAAATTCCACAATATTTCTCCCGAAACATAGGTTTGATGTTTAACAATCGCAGCAAAAATGCTTCTTCATATTGCACATTTCATTACGATATAAGTCATGTGGTGGAGGAACAGATCCCCGATATTAAATATATATGAGACTAAAATTACCCATTAATTCTTCATTAAATAAATCCCATGTGTTGCAGAAGAGCAAGTTCATCTATATGTTCGGTACGTATTGTGTGTATTAAATTTTTGGACACTTTCTGAAAGACATTTTGTTCCCAAATGAATTTTTATTAAGGTCTGATGCAAAGATGGAATTGATTTGATTGCCGAAATTCGTCTAATAAGTAAAATTGGCTTCAGATTTTGCCAAAGTGCAATTTTCTATGATAAAGATTCTGCTGTATCGAAGATAAATACTTCTACTATAGAGAGCGAAACGCAACGAATGGAAGATGTGTGTGTGTGTGCTATGAAACACATAACAAGTACAAATTCATAGCTGAATTTTATTCTGTGGGAAAAAAATCTGATTTTATTATTGTCATATTTGCAATAGGCTCTTATTCATTCTAAATTAAATAAGAAAGGCAAACGGACAGAACAGAAAAAAAATCTAAATAATCATCAAATTCCATTCCAATGATTCATTAGCTTAAAAAAAAACAAACAATTCCATTCCATTCAATCTTGCTAGTTGCCCAATTGTCAACATTTCAATGATTTTTTTCTTATTAAATTCGTCTTAACTCTTCCGAAAAAAACAGTCATCTGTTATAAAAAGACACGCTTATTGATCATCCTGTGATTTAAATGCTATGAGTCAGCATGGCATGATAGACCGGTATAAACAAAATAAAGCGCATTGTTGACAACAAACATTCACACCGACTCATTCACTGGTAGCACAGTATAGTCGCGTTATGAAATTCAATAGTCCGAAGATCGTTAAATGTGTATTGCCGACAATGTCATATTCATTTGTGTGTGGCTTGGAGCGTTGCCAATGGAATATAACAGCAGTAGCAAATGTTTTATTTACAGCATCTGACATAGATTGAATGTGTTGAGTTCACACACCCAAAACATGTTGCCAAAGTTTTTGCTACGACTTTTTTGTTCGCATTTATTACGCAATAAAATTGAGTTAACCAAACTCACAGATATACACACAAACATGCACACAGCATGCCAGTAGTCACAATTTATATTAATCGAAATGAACAGTATCGACCATTTCAACTAACCTACGCTAATTGCATTGTATGTCTATCTCTTTTTCGTTACGAACGGTTCTGCGACACACCGACTCCCAATACATTTGTACGGCGTGCGACTTACGTTGAGTTTTTATAAATTTAGTGGAATTGATGCAGAGAATTTCAGTTTTAAATTGAATACCGCACACAGTTGTTCGTCGCTGTTCGTCGAAGCAATACATTTCACTTGAAAATCTGTTAATAAATTTAAACAAGCAAAAATGCCAATCGGTAAGTTGAGATTTTTTTTAAATAGAAAAAGATTTAATTCAATTTTGTCATGTGATTATTGAAGGTGATTTAATAACAATTTATTCGAATGTTTTTTTCTTCTGTGTTTCAATGTTTGATTTGCGCATAACTTTTGAAAAGAAAAAAATTCCAACGCAGCAAAAAATGTCTCAGTTTTTTAGTTCTTCAAATTTTGTTTGATGTTGAAATAATTTTTCAAAAGAAAAAAATAGAAATTCTATACTTTGTCATCTCTGTCAAATGTAAGAAGAAAAAACTTGCGAAATTTTCCATTCAATGTGATTCTTCGTCAGACAAGTGTAGCTATTTCAAAGAGTGTTGATATTACGTGTTTCTATATTTAGGACAGTTGAAGCCGCAATCGTTGTGAATAATTGAAACGTATGATGCATTGGTCAGAATGAGGCAGCATCACATAAAAACAAGATAGACGGTGCGAAGTAGATAGGTTGAAAAATAAGAAGCTACTTTTTTTATATGGTTCTCACAGTGATGGCATAAGCGTTCGGGAATGACATCATCGCAACATCACGAATAAATGTCCAACAAATATAACAAATTTATTCATTCACCGTTCGTTCGTTCGTTTATTTTGGGTTTGTTATTCGTTTGAATAAACAACGACGACACCACAAAAGAGAATTCCAGAAAGAGAATATTGATGTGAGATAATCGAGTAGAATGTTATCGGATGAAAATTAACGTTAGCATTTATTTTGATTTTATATGACGTTAGTTCCTCGAATGATCGTATCATTTGAAACTTTATAATCCAAAGAATTAAAATCCGATTTTTCGTAGGAAATATTCGGCTTCGGAAGTCTAATGCCTAGAAACACTATTTAAAATACTAACAAAAAAAATAATTCAATTAAATCATCAAAAATTATCGCATGGTTAACCGGAGGCACCGCCCATAGTTCATTGCAATTAAATTTATTGCTGATCGATGCAATTGAGAATTTGTTGAATGCCTCATTAGATATGCGATTCATGTGATTCAGTGGCCATATAAAACCGTAGCAACTAACACGAATCGTTTGTCGTTATCGTTTGCTTATTTGCTTTTTGGCCATGAATTCCACTTTGCACACATTGAAGCGGTCTTACGTCTGTATGAGTCAACTCATTTTAATTAGAATAGATCCATTGATGCGTTCCTAATATGTTTTGCAAATTTGGAAAAGTTTTATATTCGATGCAAGTTTCAATAAACAAGTATATCACCGTTTCAAAATGGTATTGAATGACCTGAGCTGTACAAAAAATTGTTTATAATTAAATGTATCTATATTGGATTCGGCGTAGAGAAAAATTTTCACACAATCAAGTGTTGGTTAAGAAGTTCGATGAGATCATGCGCGTTTTTTATGCGTAGCAATGCCGAAAACAACATTCTTACTCATTCAACCTCCGACAATTTCGTATTATTTTTCAAATCACATTTTTTCTCGCGATTTTTATCAATTGAAAGTGATTCATTTCATTTTATGTCAAAGGTTATGTAAATTTGAATTTCATCGAGGTTGAATTGTCTCTATTTTATTTTCAACGTTTGCTCGTTTATTCATTGTTTTCCGATTGTTGTTTCGGTTTGTTTCTCTTCATGCTTCGTCGAAATTGTCGCTAGTGAGTCAATGGGTTCATTCATTCGTCATGTTAATGTCAGGTTTGCCATACAAAAGCTGGTTTTGGCGACGTTTGCACCCATTCGATAGTGGAATTTTTTCCATTGACTTTTGTACAAAAATAAAAAAAAATCCTATTTTTAAGATGGTACGATATATTTCTTCTCCTTTGTACATATTTTGTTGTGTTGAATTTTTCCGTTTCTCATTCGGCAAACTTAAATTTACAAATATCATGCAGTGTTATCCAACAATTGAATCGTATTGAATAATAAAACGAATTTGCTAACTGAAAATTCACACATTTGAAACATTAAAAAGACCGATGCAAATAGCGTATAATTAGCACAACGATAAATTGCACTTCAAATGCTCAATAAAATGTAAATGGTTGCTTTTCATTCCCTCTTTGCAGAATTAAACACACCCGATGCTCTTGAATACCATTTCTACCAATTCCGTAATGGTATGTGCCAGTTCAGAGTTCGTGCACCGAACGATGCTCACTTGGCTTTAACCGGTGAACCAAATGAAACACATCCAATCGCTGAAGTGTTCATTGGAGGATGGCAAAATTCCAAGTCGGTCATTCGTTACAACCAAACCAAGCCGGAAGTTGCTGAGGCGAATACGCCACAAATTTTAAGTCCAAACGAATTCCGTGGATTTTGGATTCGTGTCATCGATAACGTATGTGTTTTCGAGAATTGTGAATATAAATCGAGGTCATTGTTATTGAAGACAATTTTGCACTATTCAGGTCATAACTGTCGGACGTGAAGGTGAAGCTGCTCCATTTCTTTCTTGGCACAACCCACAACCATTCCTCGTGAATTACGTTGGCGTCTGCACTGGTTGGGGAGCATCTGGATCATGGATTATTGATGGTAGCTATATTTCAAATGTGCTACACAGAGTGAGCTTCTTTAATTTTCGAATTTTAAACCATTTTCTTCGCTGAATAGATCCACAACCAGACTATGGATGGCAGGGATCGCAGGGAACACAAGGTATAAGTTCACAATTGCGCAGCGACTTTGCAGGCCAAGGTGGTGGATCACCATGCTGGGTACCAGCATCAAATGGAGAGGTACCCCCAGACGCCGTTGAAGGTGGAACTGATGGTGGGTCAACACAAAAAATCGACAAAATTGATTGATTTTATTCGAAATTTATTTTCTAATCCTTTTTAATCTTTTTAATCCCATCATAGGTGAACCACAATTCGTAGCTCGTGCTCGTCACGAAGGTGATTTGATCCCAGGAAAATTAGTTCCATCTCACAATGTGACTTACGTCTCTTTTGGTGGTGGTGAACATCCACACAGCGACTATGAAGTTTTAGTTGGCTGTCGTCCACACTGGATCCAAGTCGAAGGAGATAAAATTCCACCAAATGCCGTTCCAGCTGGAGAAACTGCTCAAGGTGAACCATTGTTCATTGGTCGTGTGCATCACGAAGGAGCCGTTACAATCGGAAAAGTTCAACCGAGTCATGGCGCGTGCTACATTCCTTACGGTGGACAGGAATTGGCTTTCCAAGCCTATGAAATTTTAACCTGCTAAATGTGGACTTGTGCAATCTAAAGAAAAAAAATAATATTTTGGGCTTCTTAAACTATCTCCATTTACATGCAATTAAAGTAAACACTTATCTATTGCTTAAGTTGAATTTATTTAAATAATAATCATTAAATTGTCTATTCACTTTGATTTGTTCATTGAAAATCTCTATATATGTATAAATATATAAAAAGAGAATGTTTGTGCGTATGTTCTTCCAACCCCCCGCTGAAGTTATGTGGACGTTGTGAGCATAGTATTCACATTCCAGTAGAATGAAAAAGATATGAATTTTGTTGTCATAAAATTTGACTCCAAATAGTCAACACTGTTGACTCAACAGCAATAACAATGCAAGATGATTCAGTTCTATGAAATGACGTTTATTCGACACTTTCTAATGGAATAAGTTTCGTTCGCAGATATTTCATATTATTTGTTTTATGGTCAAATTTGAATAAATTTGTCATACATGGCATTCAGTTCAATTTCTGTTGAATAAATCCATTTGGCCAAACCACGGACTCAATCCAATCCGTATAATAGGCGACTCTGGTGTTAATGTTTGGAAATTGATTTTTGCAACCGATACCGTATAAAATAACTCCAATAACCGTAGGAACGTTAGAGTTTTTGAAATGTTGCAGTGGTGCTCCATCATCTCCATAGCATGAGTCTATTTTTCCCTGTGGATCGTAGGCACAATACTGTCCTTTGCTGAGTCCATTTCGAAGAGCCTCAACATCTGCATCTGAATTGCATTCCAACAATTTTGTATTACATTCAGCCCATGGCATCGACACAAACTCCGCCTTACGAAGAAACTTGGATACATTGCTATCTGTTGGTTTGAAAAGGATAAAACTTTGAACCAAATTCCTTGGAGTTTCTTGGTAAATTTTCAAAAATAAAAGGTTTAGTTGATACTGCAACGACTGCAACCACCAAAATAATGATCGAAGCAGAAAAGCAGATAAAACTGCCTTTCAGCAATTAAAATACCACTCAAGTAGTCAATTCGTTAAAGAATTATGTAAAGAAAATGAAGACCACTCACGATTAGCATCTGTATGTGCACGTAACGCTGCAATCAACTTTACGTCAGCACTTTCATCGCGAATGTCTGTTTGTAAGCAAGCCGGTACAATGGTATTGGTGAAATAGATTCGACTTGATACTCGAATCAATGAAATATCATTGGTTTTTTTTTATTTCTGAATACTCTGGATGGCGTAAAATTTCCTATATTTGAATAAAAACAAATTGATTTATTTTACAGAGAAAAATATGAAAATTTCATAAATAGATTGGAAAAATAGTTGCTTTCATATTTACCCGAATACTATGATGTTTTGGCTTTTCTTCATCGTCATCAAAGACATTTACCTATTTTAAAAGCAAACAATGTTTTGTTGAAAAATATTCCATTTTACATCCTCTACAATGCGAAATTCCAGTAAAGTTGAGATTTCAATTTAATGTTCGAACTTACTTTTCCCAATTGAACCACAGTCGGCCGATGAGATGGTGACACACAATGGGCTGCTGTTAGTTTAATAAAATGTAATTACAATTGTAATTTTTATTTACTAGAAATTGAAGAAATAAAGTACCTGTCAATATGAAATATTCGGATATAATCGTGCCGCCACACACAAATTTCACGTCATATTTACCGCCTTCATGATGAGCATAACCCAAAGCAGCCTTTAAAACAAAAGAATATACAGCTCTACGATACAACTAGTCTATAATATCAAAATTCTCCTTCATTCACCAATCCAGAATCGGTGCTCAAACGGTTATCTCCTGCCAAATTTTTGTATGCTTCATAGGCTAATGTTTGGGTTTAAAAGCAAATTCGATTGAACTTTTACTGTTGTTTGTATCCATGAATTTTCAAAGATAAGAAATATTTAGTGCGGACAAAGTAACGAATAACGTTAACCAATCAATGGAATTATTTACCTTGTTGTGCAGTCCTAATTGACGTGCCCAGAGTTGTTGAGGCAATTGATTGCTCTAAATTTGAAGATATGATTCAGTTGAACTAATGTCAAAACTACAAACGATTTATTACCTGGAAAACCATTGATCGCACTACTTTGAAGACACACAATTAGTATGATACAAAAAATCACTTTCTGTGACGTGAAATTAAACACGAGAATCATTTTTGAAAAATGCGTTTACGTTGCAATAAACGGAACTAAAAATCGCTTGAAGATTATGAGGTCCACTTCTCTGACTGCACAAAACAGCAACACCTTCTGGAGTGGCAAATCGGGCGTCTGTCGAAATGTCCAAAATTAACTAATCAATTACCTGGTTAAACAAGTTAAGGTTCTTCTGTGTGGAGTTTCCCTCAATTCTCGCTAAAAACGCGATCTCTGTTATTCAATTGACTTCATTCAATTCAGTTCACAATTTATTGTTGGAATTCCAGCGCATGTGATCGACGTAAGGATAAGTTGAAATCGGGTATTTCAGAACGAAAATCAGACATTCACATACCTATGCATAAAGAGTTTTTTGGGGGTGATGATTAAAATTTGTTTTAAGATGCCAACAAATCAATTGAAACTTCTTGATATCTATTGCTTCAAATGTTTTACCACGAGAACCATAACCATAAAATTGTTATCTGTTGAATGCATTTTGAATCAATGATTGTGAATGCTCGAATAAATGTGTTTTAATCAGGTTTTATTTGAAAAACATACACAGATTTTGAAGATTAAAGTTGGAATCATTATTCAACAGGCGACAGTACTGAAACTGCCACGTGATTTTAGTCCAAATATGTATGCCACTTACATTTGTGATGTTGGTATAAGCAATTAATCGTACTGAAATGTATTTCAAAATCACAAATCTACTTACCATTCTTCATATTCTACATGACATTAAATTTCAAAGACTTTTCATCCAAAGTGAACGCATGATAACCATATGGAATAAAATTAAACACATTTATGATTTCAGTTGAATTTTTCAGACATTTATTTTTCATTTTGAATCTTGAGACATGATGAAGTCGTTATTATGTGAGTACATAATTTTTCTTCCTAAAAATACAATATTTGTTTCAATAGATTTTTAAACAGTGGCTCAAACGCATTGTCGGCACCTTAGTTACATAGAATTGGTTTTGGCAGTTGATGCCAATAGCTAACAGGTTTTTTTTTAAATTCCCTATACAATGTTACGCTTGAACACTTAAAACACGATCATAGTATCGCGAAGCGGTCAGGGTTCGCCTTCTCTATCTCTTTTATTAACAGTTGAGAAATCCGCATTAATATTATTTTCAAATTCACTCAACATAAGATACTGCTCGACCTTGGATTGAACAAAGAAAAAACACAAAATCTCTTTGGAATTCGATTCTTCTATATAATGATAGGAGTGCTATATATATCAGCATAACTTTACCTTGTTGCACGATGTGATGCAGTCGCCAATGTAATCAAAATCATCGAAGATATTGTCAGGCAGATCCATATCGGCGATGCCTTCTTCCGATATGCACGTCAGCTCTGGTTTATCATCAACTGGATCAAGGGGAACGACTAAATTTCCACTTAGTTTCGGTTCAATTAAAAATTCTTCGCTAATTTGATTTCCCAGCGGATCGGAACGAAGTAGCAAATTGCCTACATTAAAATTCCGTACTGGCTCATTGTCTGGCTCTTGTGTAAATGACAGTTTCCTATGTTCAGGACAATCCTTCAGTTTACACAAATGCGTTGAACCGTTCGACCTACACACAGTCACATCATATTAGAAGGAGGGAAATTGCATTTAAATCCACTTTAGTGCTTAAGTACAAGTACCTTGTATGTCGATGACGTGAAATGCTCCGCTTGTGAACGTCAACCAAGAACAAGAGAATGCTACCGCTTAATACACAGAAAAATCCAAATAAATAACCACTTTTATGTGATACGTGACAGTTAAGAAATTCCGCTAAATTGACGCCAACAACAATTGGTATCGATTGCGCGCATTGTAAATAGCTCCATGCTTGCGAAAAGTTCCGAGCACGAACACGCTCATACAGATAAACTCTTAATGAATAATGATATCCTCCACAAAAGAAACCTAAAAAAACGACAGAAAAAGAAACAAACAAGACAAGTTCAATGTATAATTGTCTTAAAATAGAAATGAGACCGTGGAAAGGGGAAAATATGACTATGTTTACCGTACGTCCACACAATGATAAAATATCCTTCATAATTGGATTGGATTTTGGTGAGTGCGAGCAGACAAATGGCACACATGAACAACGACACTTGGCACAAATACTGACGTGCAATTCGACACTCGGCATTATTGCGTATAACCAGCACACCAAACACAATCGCACCGAAAATCCACGCAAAACCCATGTTCATTTGTAATGGCAATTCAGCATCAATCAATTTGTCAGTTTTTACGGTCTGCGCTAAATGAACAATCGGAATGTAAATACCGAATGCGCTGAATGCCGACGACAACAAAATGATCCGAACCGTTTGACTGCGTAACGTTTTAACATCGAAAAATGGACTTCGATTATTGTGGCGATTTTTCTCTTTGACTTTACGCTTTTGTGTTTTCAAATGGAGAATTGCTCGACGCTGTGGATGATACAGTGCAGCCGAACGATAGAAAAGACCAAGGAAAAATGTTGAAAATGCAATCAATGTTGCACACTGCAAACCATATCTGTGTTTGAAATACCAGCATTTTTATTTTTGGAATTTTAAATAGATTGTGTATGTGTGTTTTTTTGTAATTGTGCGATTTACCTCCAGCGGAGCGTTTCGATAGCTCGTTTTAGAAATATTGACATAACAACTATACCTAAGCCACTTCCAGCCACCGTTAATACCTCAACGAATTCACGCTTCTTTTTAAAGTATTGAGCAATCATGACGATTGAACAGTCTCTTGTTATTCCAACACCTAAACCTACGACGATTCCTAATGGAATTTCATTTGGTTAAAAGAGCTTGATATATATATGAGAGATAGTGATGTACAAATAACAAATCTTTCGTTTTTCCATAGCAATCAACATATAGCCAAAATCTAACTCTCACTCACCATAACTAAAGAGCACTTGATGATATTGCTGAGCAAATGAGGTGAATAAACAGCCAAGTGTAAGAACTAAGCCCCCTATCACAGCTAGCAATCGTGTCGATTTTCGTCGACAAACTGTTATTGTCAGGGGAGATACCATCAGACCAACGGCAATCGACAATGAACCGATAATCCCTTTTTGCACAGCATAAAAAAAAACAAAGTAAAGACACAGAAAATTGGAACGATACAGAAACATTTTAAGGGCACAATGTTAGAGTAAAACATGTTTTTTTCATACCGGCATTCAAAAGATTCTCACGAAATTGAATAATAAAAGCTGAAATAAAAATTCCTGATGACATATGCAAACCGTGTGCTATGCATTGAACGATTACGGTAATTGTAAGTACCACATAGCCCCATCCGCCTTTTGTTGAACATATATAAAAAAGTATCTATTTAATTTGCATTTATTTCTCTCAAATAAACTTTGTGTGGTTTAGAATGTTATGGTTCGAACCTTCGGTGTAGTACCATTGTCGTAGGGTCAACAACTGTCGCAAATCTGTAACCAATCTCGTATCATACGACTGTGACAGAAAGAAAAAAAAACAACAAAACCGAATAAATTGGTTGAATAGACAAAAAAAAGTGGCCTGCAAACCGAAATACATTTAGACAAGTTTTATTGAACTTTGAAACTAAATAGTAATTTTGATCAAATGGATATATATGAGACATAGCAAACAAAAAATACTTGAATGTATCCTTTTTCGGCAAACAACACTTAACGGATCATGATAATGGCCAAAGTGTAAGGAAAATGTTGTGTGCAACAATTAAATAAACCGGATTTTCTAGACAACAACAATTGTCTTACAGTTTCGTATTGCTGATGATGGTTATGATGATGATAATTGCGGTTATATTTGATTTTATTGTAATGGCGCATTTGGCCATTACACTGATGCTCCGAATACATTGCTGAATCGTAATCGATTTGATCCAATAGACTACATGAACCCGTTGTCCCAGTGTGTGTTGTGGTTGTGATGGCTGATACGCCCGAATCATGTCGCGATGCAATATGGGGCAAGGAATGGGATCGTCGCAAACATTTGAACTGAATCGACATGGTTAGTTTCTGCTTAGTTTCTATTTGCTTTCGAAACTATCTTTTTATTCCTCCTCTTCTTCTTCTTCTTCTTCAAACACTGAAATTTTATAATCTAATTTGAGTCTATGGTTTTTGAAAATGTACTTTTCGATATTTGGTTTTCAAACTATTCAATACACTTAAAATTTAAAGTCTACAAAATAGACAAAAAAAAACGGTTTGTTCAACTTCACCTTTCAATTCACTTTGATCAATTGAATAATCCGATTTTCATTGTTTCTCTATGAATTGGGAGATTCGCAGAAAGATTGGAATTTTAAATGTGTACACAAAATGTTTGATCAAAGCGAAATGTTTGCCCCCGTTCACTCAGCTATCTCGTGTATACGTGAACGGTACACTGAAAAGCGACTGGAAATCAAAGTCACCATGAACAAGGAAAAAATGGCTCAGTGTGCACCGTTTTTTTTTCTGTTTGTTTGTCTTATGCCAATTTAATTTATCTTTGCTGTTTATATGTCTTTTTTTTCTGTGCTCGTTGGGTTATTGTTCAATTTTAAATATAGTCACTCTTTCACTCTATATACTCTTGTCTCTTGCATATGTGTATTCTTTTCATTTCATCGCTCACCTTTTTTTTTAGTTCAATTCAATTTGATTTCGGAAATTGTACCGTGACCGAACCGCTTTTGGTGGATACAACGAAACACAAATATACTCGCGCGCGCTCGATTTGTTTATATGCTATTTATTTTTGTACGGCTTACGGCCAAATGCCTTCAACAGAATAACAACAGCCAGTGTACTATCGATGCAAACTTATACACACAGAGAGCCCATTAAATGTTTCCACTTGATTTTTTATTCGGCAGCAACGGCAGTAGCCCGTGCACGTTGACGACAGAGAAAGAGATAAAAAGAGTGAGAGTGAGTCAAATGCGAATTGAGTTAATCGAAAAAAAGAGCAGCGTGTAGTATTCGCGCGCGTAAGGGAAACTCTCGTTTTTAATCCGACCAATTGAATGAACGTAACACGACAGTTGCCCGTTCTACTGATGATGAAGATTGAGACGTGTGTGTAACGTTCGAGAGAGGAATACGGCGCACCAAAATCGAAACCAATTCAAGTACATGCAGTAAAATCCAACGGCTCATACACAAAGCTTATGCTGCACCGAGCCAAACCGAGCGAGGGAGAGAGATAAAAAAAAGAGGAGAAAAAAAGTAACAAAATCAAAACGTACGAATAAAATGTGGTGTCTGTGCTACACATGGTCTACTCATTCAAATGTTGTTTGTTGCGTCGCACACATTACTGCAACACACAGCATCCATCGAATCTTGTCTCTCAACACTGGTCTAGCCTGAACATACCATATTCGCGTGGAGTGACGACACATACTATGCGCGCTCTATCATTCCATCTCTATTACACTGGCCTGGAATTTGTTAGACGCATACAAAATCGGATTGCAAACGACATAGCAAGAGAAAAAAAAGGCAAAGTATAAAAAAGGAAAGCTAAACGCAAGCCGAATCGAACATACAGCAGAAATGACTGGGCAAAAATAGTTCATATACAGCAGTCGGCGGCAGTAGCAAAGCATTGACAACATTGACGACGACGGCGACCATCATACAAATATGATATTTTGTACTCGCATCATTTTTGTCACATCATTACACATTTTTATGTATTATTAAACTCTCAAGAGCGCATCTCATCACAATATGTATTGAAGGGGGATTGTTGTTTCCACTCAATGGCCGATATTGGATTTGATCGCTTTTTTTGCAGCATATCGTTCTAGATTGGATTTGATGTTGCTACTGTGCTCTCTCTCTCTCTCTATCCACTTATCCGTCTTTTTCGTTCTCGCTACCGCTCTTTCTTGATATTATCATATTATTTCTTATGCCCCTGTCGTCGATGTCGTTCATTATTAGTTTTTATGATTATTTGATCTCATCATCGAGCATAAGCACGACTGACCTTGCTAGCAGTAAAGCTCATGGATTGGAATATCACGTACGTGACCCTACGATTCAATTTCTTAACATTACATTACACTAAACGCGACACGCTGACGTAACGACAACCGACAACATAAGAAATGCAACACACTTCCCTCCCCAAAAAATAAAAACAAAATCAACAGGTGTCTGATTTGTTTGAATTCACCATCCATCCATTCAGAACTGGCTACTTTTGGCTAATTATCACCACCAACACACTGTTCACTCTATGTACTATGCTGCTATGCTCCTTTTCAGCATCAACACATGGCACTACCATTTATCGCAACCGTCAACGATTTATCACACTCTCTGAGCGCTCAAAACTTAAACTAATTCTGATTATTTCATTTCATTCTGCTTTGTTTAAGTGTCTAATTAAAAGCATTATTTCAATTAATTGGGACATCAATCACTATCGCACTACATTGTCTTGCAAAATTAATGAGCGAGCGGGCGAACACCCGAGAGACACATCACAAAATTCCATTTTTCAATTTATGATTGCAATATTTTCTCGTTGAGTGCACGTCATTTATCGAGAGTAAAACAGAGTTTTCACATTGGAAACGCGCACGAATTTTGATTTTATTCCCAGCAGCAAAAATTTAATCGAATTGGGTTAAAGTGACTGGATTGAATTCAAGTCATGGACTGTGAAATCCATAGCGTGGTTTTTCCTGATGCCTCGTTATTGCTAGCAATATACATATATGCGAAGTGAAGTCACAATGAAATTCGAATCCGAAAATTTTTCATTCGCTATATTCCAGTTTGGAAACTGTGCCACCAACAACTTTTATATGGGACCATTTATAATGCACTTTATTCAACTTTAGTCAGCACGGATCGTTGGTGGCATTGCAATTGAGTTGTCGATTTGTTTGCTTGTTTGTTTGTTTGTTTATTTACTCGTTGATTCATTTGCGGTATTTTCATTTACGGAATAAAAACTTTTCAATATGATTTCAGAGGATTCCAAAGGATTTTCCCATTTTAATTTTCACTACTGGCGTCAAACAGTAAGAAAAAGTACACTCATTTCGAAATGAAACAATGGAGCGGAATAGAACGTCTACAAAGACAATTGTTTCCAGGGATGAAATTGGAATGCCACCGTATCAAACGCAGCTATATTACAAAATGGGAAAAATGAAACTGAAGCTAAACGTGAAGCGGCAAGCGAGAGATAGCGAATCGAAGAAAATAAAATCGCTTGAAACTTCCATAGCATCTCTATCAGAGCATAAACACACGGCGAACGCATACTTATGCCTGTGACTCTCTTGCTGTTGCTGCTGCTGTTGTTGATGTTGTCAACTATAGTTTTTATTTACCATACTGTGTGATATGGGGTGTTGTTTTCGACATTTCTTTGTCTGTTTTCCATTTTACTGTGTATGCTAAGTTTGTGTGTATGCTTTGGATGTCTTTGACGTATATCTCATTCATCAAAATTCGTTATTTATGAACATGCTGACGCTACTCGTTTTTTTCCTATGTATATGTACGCGTATATGTAAAGTATGGGTACATCTCTCGAATAAATCATATAACAACCAAGCGGACATGCGTTTAGTCGAGAGGGAGAAAGAAAAAGAAATGTCGTGTAAATAAGTGGATACGCAAACAGATTCCATAGCAAATGTTAAATGCTTCCCATTTGGTCCATCAACTTTTTTTCTGTGGAAAATAAGCTTTGAAAGTTTTTCCATGGAGTAGCCACAAGCTTCTTGTGATTGATATCTGATTTTATTCACTTCATCACACACAGACACACTGAGTCTGTGAGAATAATACTAGGATAGCAGAGAAATTTTCGCTGAAACAGCTGATTGGACATTTTACATGTGATCAATGCTATGTTCATATTGATAATGCTTGAAATAATGATTCATCGATGGTTGTAGATGTACTTTCGTTTGGGATTCAAAAGAATATTTAAAAAAAAATTGTCGGTCAAACCATCAGAATAGACAAAACCGGCAGCTCGAATCAATTAGCACCATTTTGTCGTGTTATAATCACTGGGATCATAATCAACATTCATCATATGGTTTTTTCAATAGTGTACCGTCAGTTTGGTACCCAACTGAATGACAAAGCATTGAAGCTACTCTCACTTCTACATTAAGACACGCGACATATGTTGCTCTAGCGAATTATAAGAGCGTCTCAGTGAACAGCAAGCCGTTTCAGTTATGAATGAGAAAATTACGATTTGAAACGATTCAGGTAGAGATTGGACAAAACGCAGCCTAAAAAATCGGTACACATAAATTGGAATTTCATATGAAGAAGAATTTCCAGCGTTATATTTGAACATAATATTGAAGAAATAGCGATTCAAATGTGTATTTACTTCGAATATAGAATAGCGTTTTTAGCAGTTTGAATCCAGAATCGTTAGTACATCTTTACCCGCTCATACGAGCATTTATTAGGAATTTGAATGAGAGAAGCAGAAGTAAGAAATATTTCTGTTGATTAAAATAGATTTCCGTTTATTATTCATCTCTGTAATGACACTCATTTATTTCTATTGCGATTCGTTTTTTTCTTTCC